TATAGCAACCCTAATACAAACGTCAAAACATTTTGACATTTCACAAAGTAGGCCTTGTAATTTTTGACAATTAATTCAAAACGACCTCCTTTTTTTTTTATTCGAGTCGAACCTATAATACTGACAATCGGTGAAAATCTGAGGTCGTATTTTTGAATATTTTCGCATATGATTTCGAATGCTTCCCATTTGATTTACATTGCTGTCAATCAAATTTCGTCTACGAAATGCACTCGAATGAATTCGAAAATACGACCTCAGGCTGGTTTCCAAAGCCTACTTGGTTTGATAAGTTTTTCGCTTACAGTTATCTGTATTACCGACGTCGATTAAATCCAAGGCTGGGATTACGACAAGTAGAATTCTACTTTCATGACATCAAGTTGTCTAGCAACCATCATCATCGCCTGTACTGTTCGCGAGAAATTTTTCTACTCGTCGTGATCCCAGCTCAGAGTTGCTTCTAAGGCCTACTTAGTTGTCGATAAGTAATAATTATATTGCTTGTCAAAAGAAATAAAGACCACTTCTAAAAACACCTTTATTTTTATCGAATTTTGACTAACCCTGGTAAAGTGTTTATTTCCATTCACAATATAACTTTTTTGTGCATACTTTATTTGTTAATCTATACTACTCAAAACGAACTAAGGACAACTTTTAAGAGCAGGTTTTCATTGAATTTTAAATAACCCTGGTAAAGTGACTATTTCCATTTACAATAAGTATAGATAAACAAATAAAGTGTGCACAAAAAAATTATATTGTAAATGGAAATAAACACTTTACCAGGGTTATTCAAAATTTATTAAAAATAAATGGGTTTTCAAAAGTGGTCCTTATTTCGTTTTGACTAGTTTATATTGTAAATGGAAATAGTCACTTTACCAGAATTATTCAGAATTAAATAAAAACCAAGGTGCTCTTAAAAGTGGTCCTTATTTCGTTTTGAGTAGTATATAGTATTTGGCTTTTATCAATTTTTGCTCATTTTGCTCGTAGATGCAATTACCGAACTCAGCGACATACATGTTTCCAAGGCCTACTTGGTTTGATAAATCTTTCGCTTACAGTTATCTGTAATACCAACGGGTTTTTTTAAAATTACGAGCCTGCAGAGCCGGAGTCTTTTTAAATCACGAGCTCGTAGAGGCGAAGGTTTCTGTCGTGATTTAAAAAAAAAACCCGGCCCTACAGACTCGTAATTAAAAAAACTCTTAATCTTCGACCTCGTGATTTAAAATGACTCCGGCCCTTCGGGCTCGCAATTAAAAAAACCCTCGCCCTGCGGGCTCGCGATTTGAAGAAAAATATGGCAGAAACAGCTCATAACACAACAAACGTCAAGAAACTGACGTTTCAAAGTAGGCTTTGTTTTTTTTGACAGTTGACGTAATTACGTCTTTCTAACCTTTTGGGATCCCAATTGTCAATAATTCCCATTGAATTAAAAATGCAGCAACCCTGACAAATGTAGCAACCCGAGTACAAACGTCAAAACATTTTGACGCTTCATAAACTTAATTAATTCAAAATGACCCCCTTTTTTCGATTCCTATGATACCGACAATCGGTAAAAATCAGGGTTGTTTCCAAGGCCTACTTGGTTTGATAAATCTTTCGCTTACAGTTATCTGTATCACCGACGGGGTTTTTTTAATTGCGAGCCCGAAGGGCCGGGGTCATCATATACCTCACCTTCTAATGTGTTGATTGATATATTTTCAAAACGATCAAAAGTAAAAATATGCTTTATTGAAAAGTTCATAAAATGATTATTTGACATGAAACATGAAAGCGACCAATCAACCCTTATTATGGCTTGATTTGGCTCAAAAACCACATATATTTTCAGTTTTATGTGTGAAATTCAAAGTAAAAATCCTGATATAAGTACATGTCTGTGATACTTCTCTCAAGGGGTAAATTACCCCCCCTCCCAGAATTTGTAAAAACAATTCCTCAATGGGGAATTTTCTACGGAAAAATTCCTCTAAATTCCGTATATTAGCAACACTGCTATAGTGATTAAATTATAATGGCGTCCACTCCATAAGCGATGCGAACCCAAGTACCCAAGAACCGTAAACTCTACACAGGATTGCTCACTTCCATAAGACTTATGTTCATAAAAATATCGAACATGGAGGAATGCGAGTGACGTCACGCAATCCTTAATCGCCACCCATTCAAATGACGTTTGACAGTTTTCGGTACGAAATTAAATTGTTACTGTTCCCGGCACTTGGATCGACAATTACCAGTGAACTCAAACAAGTGAGATAGCAATATTATAGGCAGATTGATTGAACAAACGTCAATTGCCACAAGTGAACTCGACCAAGTGAGATAGCGATATTGTAGACAAGCAGTATTAAAAATATGAAACTTAATCACGATGTATTTTCAACAATACGTTTGAAACGTCGTTTATCTGTCAACTGTCAAATCCGATAAAATTAATGAAATTTTTTTTTTGGCAACATTGTCAACTGATGTCTTTGTTGACAAGTGACAACTAGGCCTTGGAATAAACGATGTCGGTATTGCAGGTGAGGGATTCTAATCCTCTAGTCGCAACAACAAATTGTTGCTATTCCTGGTTCTTGAATCGACAATTATTCAAAATTATGAATTTTGACAATTGACAGATTCGAATTAGTATCAACTTGTCTTAGTTAAAATACAGATAACTGTCAAAGTTGAATTTGATTTTATGACACTCTCATGATGTTTTAGCTCAATGTTAGTTAGATACAATGTGGAAAATTTACGGAAAAACTGGATAAAAACATTCAAAATGGCCGACTGTCAATAGTGGCAAATGACATTACATTAGAGTGAAAATCAAACGAGAAGAAACTATTGATGTCAAAGAATTCAGAATTCCTTTTCTCTGGCTGCCTCCCATTTAAAGTGAGACAAACGATAACGCGTAATAACGTTTTATGCGTGAATCAAACGTCAAATTGTCGAAGCAATGTCAAAAAGGAGCAAGTTATGAATACTAGGCTTGAAGTTGGCTACAAAGCAGTGTTGCCACCTAAAAAAAAAAAATTATAAATTCCTTTAAAAGTTATTTTTTATTGATTTTTTTTTGCGTTCTTAATTTTAGCATTTAAAACTGAAAATTTTTGGCTGAAAATGGAGGAAATTCAAAGCCTCGTACTTTAAATCGGTTTTTCCGGCATGAAAAAGCGGAAAATCCAAAAAAAAAACCTCTGAAAAGGACATTCCAAAGCCTACTTGATGAAACTTGAGTTTTTGTCACTTACCCCATTGGAAAACTGGAAATTTTTGGCACAAATGAAAAAAACTCAGAAAATCCAAAGAAAAACCTCGGAAAAGGACATTCCAAAGCCTACTTGATGAAATTTGAACTTTTGTTACTTACCCTAATGGAAAACTGAAAATTTTTGGCACAAAATGAAGGAAACTTCAAGCCTCGTATTTTAAACTATTTTTTCCGTTTTAAAACGGCCTGGAAAAGCAGAAATTTCGAGGAAAAACATGGATAAAAACACTCAAAATGGTCGACTGTCCAAATTGACAAATGACATTTATTACAAGGTTTACATGATTGAAATTGGCTACAAACGATGTTGCCACATCAAAAATTCCAGAAATGGGATTTTCCTAATTATTGTATTTAAAAATATAAATTTGTGCTAGAAAATGAAGAAAACTTAAAGCCTCGTACTTAAAATCGGTTTTCCCGACCGAAAAAGTCCTGAAAAAGCGGAAAATTCAAAGAAAAACCTCTAAAAAGGACATTCCAAAGCCTACTTGATAAAACTTAAGTTTTAGTTACTTACCCCATTGGAAAACTGAAAATTTTTAGTGCAAAATGCAAAAAACTTAAAGCCTCGTATTTAAAATTGATTTTCCTAATTGAAGAAGCTTTGGAAAAGCGGAAAATCCAAAGAAAAACCTCTAAAAAGAACATTCCAGCACCTATTTGATGAGACTTGAGTTTTTGTCACTTACCTTATTGGAAAACTGGAAAATATTTGCACAAAATGAAAAAAACTCAAAGCCTTGTACTTTAATTGACTTAAAACACCCTAGAAAAATGGAAAATTCAAGGAAAAACTGGATAAAAACTTAAATATGTCACTGCAAAATGGTCGACTAAAAGCGACGTTGCCACATGACATTAATGACATTTTAAATGGTTTAATTAAAACTTGTTAAATAAATAAATAATAACGATTATAAAATAATAAATTTCCCAAATAAGGTCTTGGAAACTTGTTTTTAGTTTAATTTTAATGAAAAAAATGTTTAATAATTGTTAATTATATGCGAGTAAGACAAAGACAACAATAAAGTAGTATACGTTTGCAAAAACCCCAAATGGGTGAGATAAAGTAGGATCCCATTTAAAACGCAAAATTATCAAATTACGATGAAAACCAAACAAAGCAAATATTTGATAAAGTAGTACCCAGTTAAATATTTAAAAAATTGATAACAAAAGTACCGTTAAACTGGTAAGAGTTGAAATCCCTTAGCCTGGAAGTAAAGGCCCGCTCACACAGTGCTGGTTTATGTGGATAAGGTTAGATTCTCTAATAGACAAGAAATTAGTTTGCTACGTTATCGTGATCACTTCACGCTTTTTATAAAACTTTGGTAGCGGTCGTGATCCGTGATATTTGGATATCAGTGATTAAATTACAGTTCGTGATATATTATTGCTCATCACTACTTTTTTTGTATGAATGCCGTATGTAGGTACTTCAAGTAAATTTATTAGATATACATTGTGGTGTGGTGTGGGGTACAAAAAACTCAGATTCTCTCAGGTATCAGGTAATATATACCAACACATATAATACCCCAGTGAGAAATCACCTAAGTTGAGTGAGTGGGAAGTTTTTCCACTCAGGTGATGTATTTACTTCATACTTGTAACTTCAAGTATTTTCCTAATGTATTTGTGCCTTCAATGTCCCATTACTTAATTGAAAAAATTCCAGTGATGTTCTAAAAACACTATGTGGTCGAAACAAGCCGATAACGTGCGCACCCCCAAACCCAACAACATGACCACGTTCCGGAACAAAATAACCAATAGAAAATCGAAAAATAACGCCGACAATAATAATCCGACTGATACTGCCTCGCTCACTGATAATAAGTTAGAAACTGATAAGAAAAAGCAGCAGCAGCAACAACAGACCAAGTCTTCAAATCCGAAGACAGGAAGAAATAGAACAAGGAAACAAAACAAAAAAGAAGCTGCTGCCAAGGAGAAAAATGAGAAAAATCTAGTTGCCTCTCAAGACAAGGTATGTATAATTATTATAAATTGAGGGGTTTTTCACCTAACAAAATTTGTACACTGATTCACAGAAGTAATTGAGCCATTTCCATGTATTAATAGATATTTCTATGTACCTAATAACAAGTTATTGCCAACTATTTGCATGTATTAACAAAATATTTCCACATATTGCCATGCTATTGACAGACCAAAATCAAATATTGACATATCCACAGGTATTTATATGTTAATAATGGGTATCAACCAATGACATTAACATAATATATTGCCTAGATATCTACAATTATTGACATATATTATCTACATAATTGACATAGTATTTTCCTGGTATTGATATATTATATTAACCAGTGATTAACAAGATTACTCATTATCAATTAATAATTGACAACAATATTACATTATTTTCAGGTTACAATAATTGAAAAAGAGACTAATAATGATGAATGTGACGGTGTAGTTTTAAGAAACTCTAGTTTAAGTCGTACCAATAGTACATCGGTAAAACGTTACAGTGACAGTTTTGTGTTGGAAAATCAACTAACAAACCAAGAAACTGAGGAAAAACAAAAAGTCACCAACCCTACTCCATTAACCCGAGCTCTAAGCGGGTTTTTCGTTATAGATTCCAGTAAAAGGCACAATAGAAGATTCAGTGATCTTTTTAGGCCTGTTAGTAGTAAGTTTTCTGGTAGTACTGAAAGTTTACAGATTCCTATAAAACTAGAAAAAAATGTTCCTGAAAAAGTGGTGAAACAAGACACAAAGAATGAGTCTAAGGCTAATAAAAAGGCTGAAAGTGCTGCTAAGAAAAATGCACAGGTAATAATTAATTAGTATTTTCTTGTGGGTTATTTAATGGGATTTATCGTAACTATATGTTATTAGTGATATAATAGATGAGGGATACTTGTTGCTAATTTGCTTATTGAATTAAATTTCAAGATAATTCTTTGTAATGTATTACCGTAAGTATTACTTATGATTTTTTTCCCCAAAGACTTTTGCCAAACCTTCAACAACCGAATCAAATTCTTATCTGAAACGAGTCAAATCGAAAATTTATAAGAGCAAAAGTGATGATACGTCAAAAATTGAAGTGGACTCAAAATACAAAAAACTAAAACCAAAAAAATCGCTGGATCTCAATGGAAGAATACCTGAAGAAGATGTTGTATCGCCAACTAGCGGCGGTATTCAGAAATCTTTAGGACACTTCCATTTCGGTAGACTAACAAGACAAACTACTAATTTGGAAAGGATTAGGTATAAATAGTTAGTGACTTCTTAATAAATAATCATGTGTTTCAATTATTTTAGTCGTCCATTTGGTTCTCAAAAGTCAGTGGAAACGTCACAAACTGACGGACTAGAAAGGCCAATCTTAGCCAAGTCAAAATCGAGTAGCGCGATTAATCTGAGCTTGCTAAGGACGCGCAGAGCCAAATTGCTGGAGCAATCGGCTCCCCTCTGTAAAGACGAATTCGATTTTATAGCATTTGGGGATGTCAAATCGGCTGGCTCTAGTACTAGTTTGCACAGGTTTCCTAGTTGGTTGCATCTCAATAAAGGTACTGTTCGTTTAACAAGTTTTGACATCAGTACTTCCTTCGTGAAATGAACCTTATATTCGAATGGGTAGTGCAACATTTTATTTAATTTGGTAGATTAACAATGTGCTTTTTTACATTTAGTGGTTTTTATTGAAATTATATGTGTGTTTATAGGTGAAGCCAAAGTATCGCAGCCAGTGTCCAGGACCGGATCGGATAGACGGCCGGACGCCGTCCGCGAGGAGGGTGCCCGGCCCGTCGAAGATTCAAACTTTCAACAGCAAGGAGACGGCGCTTCGGACCATCATACGGAAACTTCTTCGGAGAAGAAAGACACCAATATGCCGCAAGAAAGGTAAGACTTTTCACAACAACGCTCTTCTTCAAAATCAAATTCCCTAAAAGTAATCTGTAGTGGCAAGATAATTGTATATATAGGGTGCTTTAGAAGTGTTTGAGGTTGCAGAGGGATTAGAAATTTCAAATTTGGTTTTTAGCCATAATCAATTGATCCGAAATATTTTCAGATCTATACAGGATGAACCAAATGTTAGCACTAACTTTCTTATTCCAAATAGAAATTCGCATCTTTGTCAACATAGTCTGGTTGGCCTTGCAATTTTGAGTTTGGACCACCCAAGTTTTAAGAACTTATTTTTAATAAATATTGTTACGGCTTTGGTTTGCGTGACAGAAATTTTGGGTTCGTTTCGTTTATTCCAAAAATCAAAGTCCAATTAACACAGTAATAACTTATTCGACGTAACAATACACTCTGACACTAATTACTCAACAATTAAACTCTACAACTCGCAATAATCACTATTTAACTCGTATTACAGTCAAACTTTAACTTAAAATTACAAAGCAATAGCGGCCTTTTATATATCCCTAAATCTATTCCTTTAAAATCTAAAACACACGCGATAACTCCCCTTTTCTCGATTAAGTAGAATTTACCAGATTAATAGGAATCTGCAATTTCTAGGGAATTCGACAGCCCATTCTTGACACACTGGCGGCCGTCACAATATCATCACTATCCAAGGGCTATACCACCTCCCCGAATTTGTGCAAACAATTTCTTAAACTACCCACAAATTCTACCAAGTTCTTGACGAATTCCTCCAAACTGATAGCCACACGCGGTATGTGGTTTGGGTCTGATCTTCTTTTTTGATTAAAGTAGATGATGTTAGTCTTGTTATGGTTCCCTTTTTGGCAGTATTCGTCTATTATCCTGGTATGTTGTTCAACTTTGAATGCTGATATGTGGCTTCTTGATCTGGTAAATATTGCTATGTCGTCGACATAGACCGCGATATTTGTGTCTGGTCTTTTTGGGATTTAATTCAAGTAGATGTTAAATAGAGTCGGTAATAGTATGCTGCCTTGAGGAAGGCCTTTAGTAATGAGTTTAATGTCTGATGTGGTATTTCTGATGCTTACTGCGAAGCGTCTGCTGTTCAGGAAGCTATCTTTGTTACGGCTGGGTTGATCTTCATCTCTATCATCTTGTATATGAGGACGCTCCTCCAACCAGTGTCGTAGACTTTCTCCATATATTATAATGTGGTTAGAGTAGTCGTGTTGTTTATGTTGTTTGATTCCATGACATAGTTTACTACTCTATCTAAATAGTTGTAATTCACTAGATCTGCCTGGTCTGAATCCAAATTGTTCTTTTCGGTTTTGTTGATGATTCTTTTCAGAATTTTTCCAAGGTAGTTTAAGAACGAGATTGGTCTATAGCTTTTGGGCAATTTCTGGCCTTTTCCTGGTTTGTGGAAGAAAATAATGTTCGCTTCTTTCCAGGCATTGGGGAAATAATGTAGCTTCATGCATGCGTTGTAGAGGTAAGTAAGTTGAACTACTGCTTTCCTAGGTAGGAATTTGCAGTTTTTAGCTACTATTTGGTCCTTCCCTGCTGCTTTAAAAGGTTTAGACTTCACTATCGTTCTGTGGACTTTCCTGAAGCTGGTTAGGATATCGTCTGTATTACTTGGTTTTGTGTGCATCAGGTTCCAGTATCTGTGACAGGTGTTCTTTCAGTTTACTGGTTTTTGTAATTTGGTTTGCGAAGGCATTTGTTTTTCCTGTGTTTCTTTTATGGTGGTTTGTACTCCTGTCTTTGCCTGTATCACCTATTATCTATATGGGTGGAATGTTTTGGGGGTTGTTGCGGTTCCTGTATTTTTAACGTACTTCCATATATTGCCATTATCGTTGGCTGTTTGTAGTCTATGGTTCCACATTTTATTATAGCGTGATGACATAAGTTCTTTCACTAGGGCATCAATATATTCTAGCTTTTCCATAATGTTTCTTGGTCTTTGGTATTTGACTATTAGTTGGTTGCGCCTGTTAACTTCCGTTTGTATGTTTTTTGGAAGTTTTTCTAAGGTTTTTGTGTTCCGTTTCGGTACATGGTTTACCTTGGCGTTTATGATTATTTCTACTAGAGTTTGTATTTCTTGGTTGTGATGTTATTTTTGATGTTGACGTTCCTGGTAATTTCTGCTTTATATCCTCGCCAGTTTGCCTCTTTGTGGTCTTAGAGGAATAGTTTCCAGGTGTTTTTGGATTTTGAACAGTACTGGATAGTGGTTTGATATTAATTTAAGCAGTGTCTTTGCCGTTACTTCCAGATTTCTTGTTAATCCTATATCCAAAAAAATTGATGTGCATAGGGCCTTGTAAGTAATTCAGGAGCTATTATTTGTATGTCCGTGTTTTCTGTCATTTTGTATAGAGTTCTTCCTGGTATGTTATCACAGGGATTGTTCCAAAACACGTGTTTCACGTTTAGATCGCCCACGGAGATTAAATTGCGGTGATTTGTGATATTAGTCAGCTCCTGGACATCTATGTAGTTGTTCTCCCCTGTTATTATAGGCCACTACAATGGTTGTGCCCTGGAGTGTTACTACCAAGAATGTTCATTGTATTTGTTGTCAACTCTTCGCAGGTAATGTTATTTTGTAGGTACAAGGCTATTTCTCTGGCTGGTTTATTTTGGTAGGAGCGGCTTTTGAAAAACACATCATATCCTGTAATTTTGGGGGCAGTCTATTTCTGAGTTTGGTTGCAACTATGGCAATGGCTTGGGGGTTTCTTCCTCTCCACTAGGTCCCTGATGGGGCACAGATGGTACTAAAAGTTATAGGCAATACCGATATACACTGTTAAGGGTACCTAAAAAACTTACAAATAACTTTGAGAGTGGTTTAAGGGGGTAATAGTTATTTACCTAACAAATGCGGAAAGTGATACTTTACCGCACGCAACGGCAGTTGACCGAACGACGCGGAGCGGAGTTCAATTCTTGACATTTTATAATTTCAAGCTGTTGAAGTCAAGTGAATTTCAATATTTGGTATGCAGTAAGGAAAAATATTGAAATAAATTACAAGTAAACTTGAAAAAAGTCAATAATCCTAACGTACGCAAAATTTAGCCCGTTAGAAACCTTGAAATGATGTCAACAACAAAACTTAACCTAAAACATTTGTTTTTTTGAGATTTTGTTGGGAGTTTGTTTTTAAGGCAGTGACTACTGCACTGTCCAGACAGATTAGGATCATTGTTGTTCAAATATTCCTGACGTTTCACAATTTCTTATATCCCAAGCTACATGATCAGTGCTCAATTTTATACTAAGCTTAATATTTGACTGCATAAAATTTGGCCATCGCTCTCACAATCTTTTATTTCATTGTTACCACTACATCTCAGACAGCATTCAGTTTCCTTATAATCTTTTGCCAAATGACCACACTTGTTACATTTATAACATCTAATGTCACTAAACACTACAGTGGTTCTATTAAAAGTTCATTTTTTCTTTTTCCACAAAAGTTTGATACCTACCCTATGTAATGAGGAATTTCGCAGATTTTTTTTTATTCTCTTATTAAATTTTTCACATTGTAAAAAGTCACTTGCCACATAAATTTTAAATTTTCAACTAATAGTTTTTCTGTAAAAAAATATACAAATTCGAAATAGCTCTCTTCGTGCCAAAACGCAATTGTAAATCAATGACGTCACAAGACGGTATTTGTCAAAACGAAGGTCTGTACTCTCTCTCTTTCTTACCCATCCCATCGTCAATTGTGATTTATGTCAGTTAATATCCGCGTGTTGCTAAATTCACCAAATTGGTGCACCGCCACGGATGCGGTGATTAAAATTTAAAATTCACCAATGCCAATGCCAAACCACATCGGTGAAGTCGCCGGTAAAAATAAAAACGAGGGTTATCTTTGCTTAGTAAATGGAAAATGACAACAACCGACATAGAATGGTAGACCCATCGAATTCGATGTAAACACAAGCGTCTGACGGCTCACGTATCACGTTAACATTACATACACTGTACTTTTGTTTGTTTACCGTTCCATGACGTCATAGCTAATTTGAGAGCGTTTTCGCGCCCTTTGTTATATTCAATATTTGAATAATTAATTATTTATTAGTGGTTCAGTATAAGGAGGATTTGAATATGGAAATACACTTCTAGAGTATTTTGCTTTACTTCGTATTTAAATACATTTTGCATCAAAATAACATTTTATGCAACTTCCTCATTCCATACACAGCATTGGTTACTCGGCACATAGTGTGTACCAATGACATTTCAACACAGATAGACACCGCATCTCATTCATAAACTGATATTTGTTGTGATGACAAGACCCGCCCATGGGACACGAAAGGTGAGCTCCTCGAGGGAGGGTCGTGGTAGGGATGCATCAGTGGTGTAAACAAGACCCATATTTCCCTCTGAGTCATTCACTTGACCAAAATAATCAAGAAATGCGCACCGGTGCAACTTATCATCTCTCTGTCTGCCTCTAACTCATATAATATAGTTTGATAGGCGCGTTAACATGCCAATCAGTTGCAGCGCGTGTTCCACCTGTCTCACAAAACCGGCGTTGTCACTGTTGTCAGTAGTCGTTTTTAGTCTTGAAATTCCAAGTTTTTGTAGCAAAGACATAACAGGATTAAATATGAATCCGTAATAATTTGGCAACCAAATTGGAGGAGATACACCGGCGGTGGATTGCTCTCCTAGATGTTGGCGACACAAGATTTTGTTTACTGTAATGTCTATCTGTGTTAATATGTCATTGGTGTGTACAGTTTACTTTCACTTATGGCCGTTTCCACCAACGCAAACTTAAGTTTACTTAACGTTAAGTGCCGCTTACATTTTAATTTTTTTTCCACCAGTCTCACCTAGTCTCATTAATGGCCACTTGCACCAACATTTTAAGACTAACTTAAGTCAGATTTATCTTTAAACCGAGACTTAACTCTAAATTTTAGTTGCACCAGCAGTCGAGCTAG